AAGAAAGCTAAATCATTACTACTACTACTACTACTACTACTACTACTACTACCATTATTAATATCACTGTTACTGAGTACAATATTACGATTACTGCTACTACAAATATTATCAGCGCTACCACTATGAGAAGAATTAGATGTGATCGCTGATACAAGTACTTTATTAGTCTCGCGTATCGGCTTCATGTGCAGCTAATTGTGAGATTATAGTGAAATAGATGTGCAAGTATCTAACCCCCCATCGCTTAGACCGGTGACATGACAGAGGTCGAGATAACCGAAGCAGGTTTTGGGCAGAAGCTGTTTTCTCCAACGCAGCCTGAGGCACCGCCTTACTTAGTTTTGAGTGACAGTAGACTTTGCGCGGGTACTACTGCACTGTCTTTCCTCACTCGCCTATGTTAGGTGTTTAGCCAGACTGTAGGAAGCCAGGGCTAGTACTGCTACTACCACTACTGCTATTTTTAATACTATTAAAATGGTGATAGTATTTGCTGATACCATTACTGACTGCATTGTAAGTCGGAAGTGACGCTGATTAAAATCAGAAGTGAACTCACATCCCCTCAATCTCGACAAGAAGTCTAGTAGTACTGGCACTAGCAACGGCGCTGGCATGTCGGAGGTGACGCTGTTTCAGCCATGCTAGGGCTGTGAATCTTGGTTTCGATTACTCCGAGTAAGCACATGTTCGGGGCCCTGAGCACAGCAGAGCTTGCCTTGGTTTCCGCCTTCTGAACTCTATCCATCCGACTGTAATCGTTCCTACTCGGTTCGGACTACGATACTGCTGCTACAAGTACGCGCTTATGCTAAAAGCGATAATTTCTAGTAATCATACTTACTAAGGCCAGTAGTTAATATACTATAAGTACGCCTGCGTGTACTTTTTACGAAGTCACATCAAGTATGCAATCCCAATCTGTGTGAGGAAATAGTGGTTAGCATTTGAATGATAGTAGAGCGTTTATAAGTAATTCATAAGTCCTACCATGTCCTTATTTCAAGCAGTTTGTCGTTCATAGACTACATTTAAGCCTGCTACAGTATCTATCTGTAGTAGTACGACAGTACAGTATCAGGTGACTGTATCGTTAATCAGAAATGACGTTGATTAACGTCAGCACTGTTACTACTACTAATATTACTACTAAAGTTAATACCCCCTTACGACGATTAACATCACAGCTACTCAGGGTACCACCATTACTACTACGCTAATATTTCACCCTTCCACACGAGTGTCAGTTTTCTTGTCTAGCCTACTGCCCACGTGGATCAGTATTTCCCAAGTGACTATATCGGCTGGATAGAAGAAGACGAATAGGATTCAGCAGTTTGCACTCAAACTTTTAATTCTGGGCTGACGAGAACAGGTTAAAATGGCGCCAATATGGAAGTATACAGGTGTAAGCACACAAAAACACACAATTCACGTTACTTTGACGGCACGAGGACAAACATGCGGATGGGATAGAGACCACAGGGCATATCAGTCTGTAATTCATCAGAAAGCACAAGTAGACTGGCCTCCTTGAAGACCTGCAGCAGCTCCTGATGCGACCGCAGGTAGCTGCTGTCAGTCTCGTCAAACTCCGACTGCGCGCCGCCTATTACATTGTCCTTGAGGACGATTACAGAGCGACGCGTCTCCTCTGCCACGGGCGGTCGCAGTCCCGCTATACAGCGACGAAAGAAGGCCACGGTGGCGGGCAGGGTCAGGTGGCCTATGACCCACTGCACCCAGATAAGGTCATAGGCGCCAGCTTCGGGAGAGAAGGTCTAACATAAGAAAAAAACCTTTCTACTAAAACTATTTCAGTAGGGCAATTGCAATCAAAAAAATGTGTCTCAATCACCAGTCGATGAATTCGAACGTATGGGAGGGATAAGAAAAAGACGAAGTAGAAATTTAATGGTAAACCCACCCTCACTTCCAGCAGATAATTCGAAAAGGAATTCAGTAACCCGTGATGAGGGGTGTTACACATATGCAAATAGCACATGCAACTTGTATCAATGAAAGGCCATTAAAGAAGACCATTTAAAGCATTTTTCCGAGGTATAAATTAGAAGCAGGCCAAAACAGCAGAAGCAATTTGCACAAATAGATTTAGTGCATGAATAACGAACCAACTAAAAATCTCC